CAGAATTCTCCAATGATAGCCTGGTAACTGTTACAATTTGGGACATACAAATAATCGATAATATTCCTAGTTTCGCTGTTACTTCAAAATAAGCCTTGTCCAAGGTCTGGTAACTGTGCGTTCACACCAAACATTCGGACGAGCGACAGTCTTTCTAACCCTTACACAACTACATGTAACTGTGCTGACAAGACTAAAATACGGCCGTTGTCGTTGTTGCTTCAGTCTGAACACATGAGGGATAAGAGATTTGTTGGTACATTTGGTCGTATGTATGTGTGTGTGTGTGTGTGTGTGTGTGTGTGTATGTATGTGTGTATGTATGTGTGTGTGTGTGTGTATTGTACGTATGTATGTATGTATGTGTGTGTGTTTGTGTGTATGTATGTGTGTGTGTATGTGTGTATTGTACGTATGTATGTATGTGTCCCACAGATCTTACAGCGGAGAGAACCTGGAGATGTATGTGTATGTTGTGTCAGTGTATGTATGTACGTAAGTAATGATGGTATATGTGTGTATGTGTATCAGTGTGTGTGTATGTATGTATGTACGTAAGTAATGATGGTATATATGTGTATGTGTATCAGTGTGTGTGTATGTATGTATGTATGTACGTAAGTAATGATGGTATATGTGTGTATGTGTATCAGTATGTGTGTATGTATGTATAGGTACGTAAACACGGCCTCGTGGGCACTCACGGCCTTCCGACCGCGTGGTATAGCTGAAATCGGGGTAATTCCGATGGCTGTTTCTTTGCTCTTTCGCTATAAAACACCACATGTCGTACACCTTGTAAAAGTTCAGCTTTTCCTCGTTACAATGGTGGAAGTTGTTTATATATCCGATTTTTAGGAGCTGGAGAATCACCGAGAAAAAAAATTGACACGCGTGCATTCAATTGCTTTGCGGAACGAGGGATGATTAAATACCGTCTTTTCATTGGCAGAGAACTGTAGCGCTTTAAACAGGCTTTCCCGTGGTATATGTTTGGCCTTTGGCGTTTAAATAGAAAGCCTTTATAAATACCGTCAAGATTTTTAAAGATCCTTTTTTACCCAAAATATGCAAAATACCAGCTTAAAAAAGGTATCAACTAAAAGTTCATTTCCTTTTAGAATAAAGTAATAAACGTGGAATTATTTTTCATCAATCCTTCCGCGAGACTCGGAAAGCATGTGACCCCCACGCTGAGTACACTGCAGTATAGACTTATAGAGCAGACTCGCTCGCCGCGGGACTAGTGCGGCTCCGGCCGGGTCAGCGCTCGGTGTTTTTGTCGAAATAATGACAGATCATCGTGTTTTAGGTGATAAAATACTGATTTGTAATGATCTCACAGTCTTGAAAAAAATTAGGCTCCATATATTTGTTGTAGTGA